CTTTGTCCCAAGTAAAACTTCTGCCAACTAGACCTCATCTGAATGCTTCTGTGCTAGGCCCCAGGACTCATTTGGGTTTGAACCCAGTCTGTTCAGAAACCACAAGTTGAACATAAATAAATAAATATTTAGAGTATGGGGGTGTTCAAATAACTGTGTGAACCAAAAATATTTTTAAACAAAATATTCTACATCTTATCTTTCTTTTTTTTAACCTGTAACTATTTATTCCCTCCCCTTTAACACACCTTGGCAGGAAGAGCCTAACAGGTTTCATCCAATAAACATGGCCCAACCCATTTTTCTTATCAGATTTCTCTCTCCTGAAAAGTTTTCTGAAGTGAGGAACGATATTATTGCCCTCAACTGTAACATGATCTATTTCTCTGGTCTCCTTTAAGCTGTTTATCATTTGCTTCACTATTTCAGATGGAATTAATCTTTGAAAAACAGATAACACTCTAAGATGTTTTATGGCTAAAAGTTCCATCAAGACTTTTTCACAACTTGTTAATGGAACAGAAAGCAGCCAGGTAACTGCATTGCAGGTGCTGTAATAAATGCTTACTACTGCATTCGCTAAAGCCGTCAGCATTGCTTCACAGACATGGAGGAAACCTCTTTGGTTCATAAATCATTGAAATATTTCAGGCCCTTTTGCATGAGCCAGAGATATTCTCAGAGAGCTGAGCATCAATAACAATGAAACCGACATGACAACATGCAACAGCAATCTGAAACATTGTATGGGGAGTTCCAGCCTGCCTTTCATTGGAGGAATACTAAAAATAAGTACATTTCACCACCCCTCCCCCAACGCCCGCCAGCACGCCACTTAGGCAACTTACTACTTCTAGGGCTAATTAAGCCTTTTTTCCTTAATAGAGACACTATAACCAGACTTAATACATGATGGAAATTTTAAATTTCAATCTACTTATACGGAATGAATCTAAAATATATAAATTAGTTGAACATATTATGCATTATCGGTGAACTCGACTTGCAATATTTTACAATAGAGAATCCTGCTCAGGGACAGCTTCATTTTTTTTATTAATGTCTAGTGGTGTATAGTTTCTGTACAATGTTGTGTCAGTTTCTGCTGTACAGCAAAGTGAATCAGTTATACGCATACATATATCCCCTCTTTTTTGGATTTCCTTCCCATTTACGTCACCACAGAGCACTGAAGAGAGTTCCCTGTGCTATACAGTAGGTTCTCATTAGTTATCTATTTTATACATAGTAGTGTAATATGTCAATCCCAATCTCCCAATTCATCCCACCCTCCCTTCCCCCCTTGGTATCCATACGTTTGTCAGAGACAGCTTCTTATTGGCAAAATAGGTAAGTCCCACCAAAAGAAATGAACTTGGTCTTTTTGAGACTCATTCTCTTTTCCAGTTGCTCAGGCCAAAACTCTTAGAATCATCCTTGATTTCTCTTTCTTTGACACCCCACTTCCAACCCTGAGCAAACCCCGACAGTCCTAATTTTACATAACTGGAATCCAGCATCTCAGCACCTCCACAGTCGCCACCTGACGTAAGCATCTCCAAGCTGGTTTTCCAGCTTCCTCCTTCACCCCTTTATAATCTATTCTCCACCAGAAGGCAGAAGATCCTTTAAAAATGTAAGTCACATCCCTTCACTCCCTGGCTTCCATCTCACTGAGAGTAAAAGCCAAAGACCGACCAAGGTTTAGAAAGCCTTTCGCTGAGGGCTCTCCGCTAATTATGCATTTCACCGATAATGCATAATATGTTCAACTAATTTATATATTTTAGATTCATTCCGTATAAGTAGATTGAAATTTAAAGCTTTCTGAGCTCATCCCCACCATTTGCCCTCAATTATTCCCGTCTAGCCAGTCTGGCTTCCTCCTGCCCTTTACCTTCTGCTCTTGCCTGAAGAAGGTCTTTGCACTTGATATGCCCTCTGTCTAGAATCAATTTCTGCAAGATATCCACGTGGTTGGCTCTCTCACTTGCTTCAGAACTCTGCTCAAACAGTACCTTATTGGGGAGGTTTGGCCATCGTACATAAAAGAGCTCATGGACTGGATCCAATTTATGTGCCTCTGCAGATTTGTTCTGTTCCACCTGTCCCCAGGCATCACCAGTTTGCCCTGCTTCCCAGGTGGAGGAGCCCCAGTAAATACAGTGCATGTGATCAAAACCCTGATGTCATCTCTTACCTTTGCTGGCTGATTCAACTCTTCCTTCTGGGAGAGAGTCAGCCCTCCGCAGCTCCTGAATCCGGGGTCAACCCAGCTGGACCCATGAAGATTCCAGCCACCCCAGTAGCTGCCCAGAGAGGCCAGATAACACAAACCAGAAGTGAATTTGATCAGTGAGAGACCAGAAATAGAAGGAAATCAACATAAGTTGCTCTCCTTCTCTTGTTAGTTCCCCCAAGTACTGAAGCTCCATATGGACTCTCTGGGAATGTCCTGAGTGACCCACCTGTTTCTTCTGAGGCTGTGACCAGTTAAAAAATGCACCACCTTTTATTTGTTTTCCTGATTGCTCTGTTTTGCATTCCTTTCTCCCTCACCTTTACTGGTCTGAGATTGCACCTCCCAAAAGTATTAGGATGTAAGCTTTGTCTCAGGTTCTGTGTCCTAGGGAATCTAAGATATGCATACACGTGCGCTCACACACACACACACAGAGAGAGAGAGAGAGAGAGAGAGAGAGAGAGAGAGAGAGAGAGAGAGAGAGCTATACTGCAGCTATACCTGATCCTGCTATATCTCACTTCACTGCTTGTAGTCAGCTATCTTTACGTCTATCTCCCACTGTGAAATAGAAACCGCATGAGATCACTGACTTGGTTTCTTTTGTTTGATGCAGTATTCCCAGTAGCTAGAACAGTGCCTAGCACCTATAGGCATTTAATAAAAGTTTAGAAAATAAATAAATGAGAAGTTTGTTTGCAAGTGTGGAATTTAGCTCCAAAAACACGGAAACTAGAGAAGTTCAGGTTTTTATACGTGACCTGCCTTTTGATGTTAAAACTCCCATCTGGAAGTTTTCCTATTCTTCTTCCTCTCCTAATTTCACCAAACCTCACTGGCCACCTCTCAACTCAAAACTTAACTTCCAAAACTCCCTTCCCCCACTTAGGCTCACTTCTGATATAACCATTTCCATAATCATACTAATCATTTTTTTTCAATGCCCCTAGATGGGGCACATACATACCTAAGGTGTACTTTATGCATTTTACCCATTCTCACACAACTACATAATATACTAAAGTAGATTCAGCCTGTCTTTATCCACCACACACCCCCTCATAGACATGCACAGGGATGTTCCCTCCCCACATGCAAGCCCCTCATGCTGATTCTGCATTAATGATGACTACTCATTACTGAGTGCATACGATGTGCCAGGCATGGTGGTGGACATTTAGTCCTCACAACAACCCTGAAAAGTGTGAAAATATCTTAAAACTCATTCATACTAAAATGTTTGGGACCTAACTACTGTATGTTCCCCTCAGAGTTATTTGCCTGGAGGAAGCTGACGTAGTCAACGGCAATGAATCCCTCTGTTACAAGTTCGTGCATCAGGAAGCAAGGACTCCATGGGGAAAGCAAGGCTCCTTCCTTCCTCATACTCTTGAATTTACAGTCCTGTCCAAAGTAATGATTCTCTGCTTTGTAACTGTCCTGAAATTGCGTCATGAGACTATGTTCCATCTCTTTATGTCATTGAAAGCTCCTTGAGATCAGACATGGCTTTTATTTCTTAGGTGTTCCTGGAAAACTGCATTTGTCTCTTATCCTAGCCTCCCATCTCCCTCTGCTCTAGCCTGTCTGTACTTCCACCAACTGATTCATTCTCCCAGACCGTGGTCTCCAAAGTAGGAGTGCACAGATCCAGGTAATGAACAAGATGATTTTGGGGGTTTGCAGAAACATATATTTATTATGTGTGTGTATGTATGTGTATATATATATATACATATATAATATAGATTTAAAAAATAAAAAATTACATAAGCTTTATTACATTTCATATACATAGACTCATACTGCTGTCTTCCCCTGGTCTATATGTAAGAATGTCAAGGGCACATAACATACATGAGACACCTAAACACAGAGCAGATGACCAGGACCCTGCTGCCGCTCTTGCATATTTAGTGCTTTACAGTTTAGGTATATCCAGGTAACAGTGAGGTTACAAACTATATAACTGGGTTTTAACTAACTCTGGGAAATGGACACCTGGCTTAAAAATTCCTGCAAAGAAGCCATCTATGGACAAGAATACCAATTTTGCAAGCTCAAATGAACAAGAAAATGACAACATTAACACATTTACCCCAGTACAGATTTTTCATCTAACACATTATAATATAAAATCAGTGACAAGAAAGTGGCTAAAAAAATTCAAAGCTATCCAGAAGACCATTTAAAACATAGATTTACATTTATTTTCATTAACAGTGAACTTCATCCTATATATATATATGTATATATATATGTGTGTGTATATGTATATGTGTGTGTATAGTATCTTGACATATTGGTTAATGACTTTGATATGCATATGTAGAATTGTGCTTTGAAGTAAAAGTTAATGATAATTCGAACCAGTCACAATTCACAAGACATTTTTTAAAATAAGCATCCGAAACAAAGAGACAAGCCACTGCAATTTTTGGAAAGATGTTTAAATTAGGCATTACTCAATCCACTGTCTTACAAAATTTCAGGAAACATGTAATTTCCTTTTAACAGTGAGAAACAAAAGGCTATGCGCAATCACAAATATCCTTTTTTTTTTTTTTTTTGCTTTGGTGAGTGCTGAAATAATACATACAAAATGATATGGTACAAACCAACATGGACACCTTTGTCAGAAAATACAGGACTTTTTAACCAGATTAAAACTCTTCCAAACAAAGAATTTCTGTGGAATCTGAACCCATTTTGATAAGATACATGGAAAACATTGCTGAAATTTTGTTTTTTCATCTTTCTATTTTATTAGATTAAAAAACACAAACAAAACCAGTAGGAACTAAGGGAAAAGATGGGGAAAGAAATACAGGAAAGGGTTAGACAAAAATCAGCGATGACAGGAGAAGCGGAAGGTGAGGGGGTGGGGGGAGACATTAAGAGCCCCAAGTCAGAGCAGGAAAGAGGTTTCTGAGGACAAGACATCGCTTCATTTGATGACAATTTTCTGGCGCATGGCTCAGGGCCCAGAGCCTTAGAGGGGCGCAGGAGGTGATGGACCAGGTTCCCAGGGCTGAGGCAGTGGGCAGAAGCCCATGGACAGTGATGTACCTTTTGTAGGCCTCAGGGATGATCTTGAAGCTGGAGCAGTGACGTGGCAGATGTCTGTAACAGGGTCCTGGGCAGACCTCTCCAGCAGAGACCTTTGGGGACCACCCTTGGAGAAACCATTCCTCAAAGGTCCCCTCATCCCTAAAAGTGATGGAGGCACGTGGACCTCCAGCAGGAGGGAGGACGGGTCCAGGGCCAGCGCCGGGAGTCCCTGCAGAAGCTGTGGGAGCAGGATCGAGTCCTTTTCTTTAGGGCCTGGCTCCCCAACAAGTGGCACTGTCACTGAATGGGAGGTGGCGACGGACCCCGGGCACTTCCACCTCTTGGGAACCTGCTTCTTTCCGTCAGCCTCGGGCCACTCATGTGTCTCCAGTGAATGTCAGTCAAGCTCCTCTGTGATTTTGGCCTCCCCGAGCAGTTTCTCCACTCCCAGTGGGGCCCCTCTCGCCCCTGTGGCTGGCCCTGCTTCTCCTGTACCTGAAGGAATGTGGTGTGTGCACAGCTGTAGATGGACGCGGGAACTTCCCACGGCCAAAGGCACTGTCCTATAGCTCTGGCGGGAGCAGTGCCTTCTCTTCTCGGCTTTTCTGAGCACTACCAGCCCAGGTGCTGCTGACATTTTGAGGCCTCAAGCTCTTGAGAGGCTCCTTATCCTCCTTTTTTTTTTTTTTTAATAACTGTATTTATTTTATTTATTTATTTTTGGCTGTGTTGGTTGCACGTTGCTGCACGTGGGCTTTCTCTAGTTGCAGTGAGCAGGGGCTACTCTTCTTTGCAGTGCACGGGTTTCTCATTACAGTGGCTTCTCTTGTTGTGGAGCACGGGCTCTAGGCGCGTGGGCTTCAGTAGTTGTGGCACGTGGCTCAGTAGTTGTGGTCCACGGGCTCAGTAGTTGTGGCACACAGGCTCAGTAGTTGTGGCACACGGGCTCTAGAGTGCAGGCTCAGTAGTTGTGGTGCGCGGGCTTAGTTCCTCCGTGACATGTGGGATCTTCCTGGACCAGGGCTTGAACCCATGTCCGCTGCATTGGCAGGTGGATTCTTAACCACTGCGCCACCAGGGAAGCCCTTCTTATCCTCCTTGATGGCAGCTCCATGCTTCCTTCTCGGCTATTCTCCATCACCGGAGTGTTCAGTCCCCTTCTCCACGTCAAAGTCAGAGTCTACTACATCCTGTGTCTGACTGGTCCCCTTGGTCCTCATCATCTCCTGAGCCCTCTGTGAAACCCCATAAGCTATCCGGTAGAGCTCATCCTCCCCCATTGCTGGCACCCTGAGGTCTTCTGAGGGCCTGGCCCCCAAAACTCCAACCGCTCGTGGACCCTGCACCTCCTCCAGCCGCTGCTCACACAGCATGGTCCTCGGAGCTCAGAGCCCACGCCGCTACCTGCAGGCCGCCGGCAGCCTGGAAATTATTTTTAAATCAAGAATTGGGACAAATTACACAGTGTTATGTTTGATATATAATGAAAGTATCCCTATTTCTATTTTATCAAGTCTCAGCATATGGTTTTTGCTTGGTTGTGTTTCAGTAATAAAATACATGAAGAATTTCTTTTTTTTTCAAACCGTCAAAGGTAAAATATAGACATGAGATATATTCTCAACAGTAAATTACTTCTTTAATGGTAAAGCTGTGTAAGTAATGGGGCCGCTCCTTTTACCAACTGTTTTAAAGGATTTTGGCTAAGATTACTGAGGCAGATCATATGTGACATTCATTCACCTTGCTCTGCTCTACACAGGCAAGCACAGAACACCATCAGTGTGGTAAATTTAAGTTTACTTTTTTTTTTTTTTTTTTTTTTTGCGGTACGCGGGCCTCTCACCGCTGTGGCCCCTCCCGTTGCGGAGCACAGGCTCCGGACGCGCAGGCCCAGCGGCCACGGCCCACGGGCCCAGCCGCTCCGCGGCACGTGGGATCCTCCCGGACCGGGGCACGAACCCATGTCCCCTAAATCGGCAGGCGGACTCTCAACCACTGCGCCACCAGGGAAGCCCAAAGTTTACTTTTTTTAATCTTTAAAATATGTTTGACTCTTTAGGAACAAATTGAAATGGGAAGTAACCATGAACATATTTTCTACAACACAGAGATTTGCTTATGGCAAAGTACTCAAAAGGGCTAAAAACATATATTTGCAGAAAGACAAGTGCTCCAGACATGCTAAGCTTTTCTATGATGACAAGCAGGCTATCAATAACATGCTACCTATCAAGTATTTTTTAAAAGACAATAACAATAACATTAATAACACAATCTGTCCCTTCAAGGTGGAAGTAATGTTTCAATAGTAAATAAGAAGGAACTACCTTTTCTTCTGAAAAAGAAAAAACGAGGGCTTCCCTGGTGGCGCAGTGGTTGAGGGTCCGCCTGCCGATGCAGGGGATGCGGGTTCGTGCCCCGGTCCGGGAAGATCCCACATGCCGCGGAGTGGCTGGGCCCGTGAGCCATGACCGCTAAGCCTGCGCGTCCGGAGTCTGTGCTCCACAACGGGAAAGGCCACAGCAGTGAGAGGCCTGCGTACCGCAAAAAAAAAAAAAAAAAAGAAAAAAAGAGAGAAACGCAGACTACTGACGGAGCACATTGGAAAAGGATATTAGAAAGATGTCCATTGTTATGTAATTTGGATACAAAACTAGACTAATAAATATATCATCTATTTTTTTAAAATCTCATATCAGCACATTCTAAAACCTTGGAAATAAGATTTTTGTAACCAGTTTTAACTCTTCCAAACAAAGAATTTCAGTGGAATTTTGATAACAATGAAAAATGGTAAAACCTATTTATTGCTTTGCAAGAACCACTGATTGACATCAGAGAAGATGAAAACCTACTAGCCACATTTTAACAAAAACCTTTCCATAACTGGTGAATGGAATTTATTTAAAACAGCCAATAAAGGAAAATTTTCCCTTTGGATTTATGTGCCTTTGTGAGACATAGTTCTCAATTGCAAAAACCACTACCACAAAGTACTGAAAAAAAGTGAATTAAGAAAGACATTTAAATAGTTGTATCAGAAAAATTTTGAGTTTCAGAAAACAATGAAGCATATTCAAATTCAACAGTAATTTCAGTGAGGCAAAAAGACTTTTGTGCCATTACTAATTAAAATAAAAATAAAACAATAATTGCTTATTTCATCATGAGCTCAGCCTCTTTGGGTTATAATGGTATAGACTTTATGATATGCATAACAGGTACTGACACAGTAGTTTGTCTATAATTTGGAAATAAATAAATATACATATAGTGAGGAGGTATACTGGATTTTTTTTTTACTAATAAGGACCTGCAAATAAAACATTTTGGAAGGCCATGTGCCCTATGTCAGGGCTATTCAGTGTGTTCTGTGAACCCACCACATCAGTGTGACATGTGAGATCATTGGAAATGCAAATTCTAAGGCTCCATCCCAGACCTACTGAATCAGAATCTTTGGGTAGGGTGTCAGGAATATGTGTTTTAACAAAACCTTCAAGTGATTCTCTGATGCATATCAGATCTGTTCAAGACCTTGCTCTTTCAGCGTTGCCTGTTGGATACTAAATTAAGGCCAAACTTCTCACCATATCATTCAAAGGCTCTCCAAATACAGCCAAGCCTCCTTTAATGGTCTATTTCCATGACCCCCCACCATGTTGGATGTCCCAGGTGTTCTTCGATGCCCCCTTCTTCCCTCCTCTCTGCCTCGTTTATGTTTTTTTCTCCACTGGATTCATCTCCAGCTCTATTATGTCTGCTTAACCAAAATCTCCACAACCTTCAATACCTGCCTCAAAAGTTACCTATTCTAAGAAGATTTGCATGATTTTAGAAGAAGGGGGAAAATACTTACCTGCAAGTTCTCTCTCCCTTTTATTTTTAATGCCCAGAGCATCTTGTTTGTTTATTTGCCCTGGCACTGACTGTGTTGCATCATGCATTATAGTCATGCAGGCACTTATCTCATTCCCTCTGTAGACTGCAGGCTCCTTGATAGAGAGACTTTATTCATCTTCCTTTATCCCCTAGTTTAGCACAGTCCTAGCAGACTCTCAATAGTTTGCTACAGAGTCGAAATAAAGTCCCATAACTGAGCTCTACCCACACCGTGGGCTTCCTTCATCATGCTGTTGGGGACATTGCCTCACCATGGAGAACCTGGATTTCCCATGGACTTTTCTGTATACACTGACTGTCTCTTGCCCTCACGTTGCAATTCTGAGCTGGAAGAGCCTTCCTTCTCACTTGGTCATGACTGGAGTTCAACACTGAGCCACAAATGATGATCAAAACCAAAAATGGTTATCATGTTTGAGGCTTACCAGTGTCAGACACTCTACCACGTATGACTATCTCCTTCTGCCCTGGTGATGACTCTATTTGGTGGGCATGTTACAACTCCCATTTTACCAGGTGAGGAGACTAAGATGCAGAGAGGCTAAGGATTAAGTAACTGGCTCAAGGTCACAGGGCTAACAGAGTGGTAGAGCCAGGACTGGAATTCAGGTTGGCTGGCTCGAGCCTTCAGAGTTAACCTCTCCATTACCCTACTAACCACAGAAGATAACATTGCTCCAGGGTCTTCCTTACATCATCCCCAAGTCACCAGCACTCATAACCACATGAAAGAGCCACGTGCACTAGATTCAATCTCGATGACAATATAAAAACTATGATTTTACTATAAAATTTCAACTTAAATCTAGATCAAAGATATCTAAATTACTCTTCATTTGGGCTATAATCTCATATTCCAAAACTTAAATGCTTAAAAAGAAAGCTTTGTCTAAGTTAAGATTACTAGCTCAAACTTTATTTGAGAGTTAATACTACTTTTCCTCTAAAGTAATCAGTACAAAGAGTCCTTTTCTTCTTATAGTAAAATATGTCATAGAACTCGAACTAGTAGGCAATCACTATCTTTTCTTCATAAGAAAAAAAAGCCTTTGAAATATGTACCATAACCTCTGAAAAATACAATTATCTTCCCTAAGAATTGAGGCATTTTTTTCTGACAAAAACAATGGGCAACTGATCTATAGTTCTTTTCTTCCTCAAAAAAATTATTGTATATTGTGTAATGATCATTATAATTAAAAATTAAGATGGCTTGCAATAATTTCACCATTATTTGATTCAAAATCTTTATAAAATATTGGCATTTTCTAACATTTATTTTTCCTGTCTATGTTCCACTTAAGGCCAAATTTTCAAACCCAGCTGCCAAATTACACATATAATTACTGCATTTGCGCACAAAAATGTGATAATTGCTTACACAATTTCAGAGGCCAGCTTGAGGCTCCTTTCCAAATTTGTTTTACATGTACAGTGTGGTGTATGTAGTTTTATATGAAAATGGGGGAAAGTAGAATTCATGTTTTGTCT